CCTGTCTTGAAAAACAAAAAAAAAAAAAAAAAAAAACACACTGAAGCATAATCAAAAAAAAAAAAAAGAAAGTAGTCTAAGAGAAATTTTGTTTTTAGAGACAGGATCTCATGCTATAGCCTAGCCTGTCCTTAAACTCACAGCAGTTGCCGGGCAGTGGTGGCGCATGCCTTTAATCCCAGCACTCGGGAGGCAGAGGCAGGCGGATCTCTGTGAGTTCGAGGCCAGCCTGGTGTACAAGAGCTGGTCTACAAGAGCCAGGACAGGAACCAAAACCTACGGAGAAACCCTGTCTCGAAAAATCCAAAACAAACAAACAAACAAGTTCTGAAAAGTAACAATTATAGGCATAAGCCAGCAGCCTGGCTTTCAGGGTAATTTTAAATGTACCTTTAAAATGGGAGTTATACAGGAAGGAAACCTAACTGTGATTTCTTTCCTTCTCTCTCTCTCTCTTTTTGATACAGAGTTTTTCTGTGTAGCCCTGGCTGTCCTCAAACTCACAGAGATCCGCCTGCCTCTGCCTCCTGAGAGCTGGGATTAAAGGTGTGTGCCACCACTACAGGCACCAAGTTGTGATTTTCACTTCAATGGAAATCCCATGGGGACTGTGTGGAGGAGGCCTGGTGGGACAGTCTAAACTAGAAGGTGTTCTCTATGTAGAGGCGACACAGGAGACACAAGCAGACTGTCTCGCAGTCCTTAGCTACAGAAGCTCTGGGGCCATCACAATGCTGACTGCCTGTTACTGTAGTGGAGACACCACAGGGCTGCCTGCGAAGTCGGGTGAGCAACACAACACTTCTGCTGTTGCTTCCACCATCCGGGAGGAAGACAGCCCACTGTTCTATCCCTTTAGTGCTCACATTCACACTTGATCTCACCCAGGCCTGATTAGTGACTGATTAGTGACAGGGACGGCACTTGCACTGCAGGGGGATGCTCCATTATGACCTTGTATACTGGGGTCAAGGTCGTACCACTGAATCCTGGTGTCAGCTCTGCCAGTCGCTGGGAGTAGAAACTGCTCGGCTGGGTCAACTTCAGGCCTTTCAGGTGCTGCTCAAAAATCTCCCGCCGCTCCTGTCACAGATGGGGGACACGGCTGAATTCATCACACTTGCTAACAAGACGAACCCTTCTCCCATGAGTTCCATGAATGAAACTGGTGGCGTCATAGGACACTGGCTTCTGCATGACTGACATTCTCAGTCATACCCGTGGGTTTTGGAAACCAATTTAGAGAGGCAAGATGATGAGAAGCTTAAGAAAATGGCTCAGAGGTTAGGAACACTTGTTGCTCTTTTAGAGGACCTGGGTTGGGTTCCTAGTAGCCACATGATGGTTCACAACCATCTGAAACTTTAGTTCCTAGGGACCCAAGGGATCTGATACGCCTTTGACCTCCTCTGGCACTAGGCACACACATGGTGCACATGCATTCATGTAGACAAACTCATATACATAAAAATGCACAAATAAATAAATCTAAGAGGGAGGGATGGAAAATCCCACGACCTTATAGAATTCAAGATGGAAAGGAGAAATGCCTTCATTTTGACTTGAGCGAATTTACTATAAAACTCAACCTAAGCCAGACAGTGGTGGCTTGCACCTTTAGTCCTAACACTTGGGAGGCAAATGAATCTCTGAGTTTGAGGCCAGACTGGTCTGCAGAGAGCGTTCCAGGATAGCCAGGGCAACAGAGAGAAACCCTGTCTCAAAAAAGAAAAAAACAAAAAAACAAAAAACCACCTCAACCTGGACCAGTGCAGTCAACTCCATACTTGTAGGGATGAAGACAGGACACACTGGGGAAACTTACGCTCACTGTGGAACTAGGAGAGAGCAATGAGTAAACACTGAGCAAGTCCCACCTTTAGGCCTGTGAGCCCAGCATTCAAGAAGTTGAAGCTGATGCCAAGTGGTGGCACAAGCCTTTAATCCTAGCACTCGGGAGGCAGAGGCAGGAGAATCACTGTGAGTTCGAGGCCAGCCTGGTCTACAAGAACTAGTTCCAGGACAGGCTCCAAACCTACAGAGAAACCCAGTCTTGAAAAATCAAAAAAAAAAAAAAAAAAAAAGTTGAAGCTTGAGAGCTGGAGGATCATCACAAGTTCAAGGTCAGCATGGGAGACTTAGCAAGACTCTGTCACAAAAACCAAACCAACTACAAAAGGACATTGGGTATTTTTATGGTTCCTAGAGGAGCGAGGGCCACATACTTGGGCCCCAGTGGCCATGGTAATGTCACACCAAGCCTAAGCCACAGAGAAAGAGCAATGACAACTACAAAACTAGAGCTTCCCAAGGAAGAAAGGCTGTGCCCAGGCCACAAGAACTGTGCTATGCAAAGCTAGCTGCCCCTCCTTCCCAGCAGTTCTGACCTGCAGAGTGGGAAGATCAATGAAGACATGCCTATCGAGTCGCCCAGGCCTCATCAGAGCATTGTCCAAAACATCAGCTCGATTCGTGGATGCCAGGACGATGACATGGTCTGTAGTGCCCATTCCTGGGAGGACAGAGCAGACAGTGAGCAGTCTTTGGAGTGGGGGATTTCACAAAATGGCTTTTCCCCTACCCCTTCACCATAGCAGGGAAAAGTAAAAGGTCCAGGGACAAAAAGGCCACCAGATTCCTTCCCAAAAAGATGATGAGGTGGGGACACCTTCCCAATGGCTTTCAATCAAAGTCATGCCAAAAGTGTGAAGCTGCTTGTTCTTCAACAACAGCACTTTCCCTTGTGGAGGCAGAACTGCCCAAAGACCCCTGGAGATGCAGGCAGCATCCCTGCAAGGGACTAGTACATTCTCACCCCAGGAGCCACAGTTCTTGCTGAGCTGCCACCACCCTTCCTGTGTGGTGCCTAAACACTTTAACACTTGGGTTTAGGCATGAGGGTTCTTGTCCAGGATATTAGAAGTAGGGCTGGAGAGAGGATTCAGTGGTTAAAACCAGGGCCACGCTTGTAGAGGATTCACATCAGGTGGCTCACAGCTATCTGTTAGTCTAATTCCAGGAGATCTGCTTGCTTGCTTTTGATGTCCACGGGCACGAGGCACATATGCAGTACACATATTTACAAACACATGTAAAATATTTATACACCTACAGTTTTTTTAAAAAGTAGCTCAGAAACCTCCCCAGATCCTTGACTAGATCTGACTGGGGAAAAATCAGCTATACAACAAGGTTTATAGACAGATGTGGTAGTGCACACACCTTTACTCCCAGCATCTGGGAGGCAGAGGCAGATCTCTATGAGTTTTAAGTCTACTCAAACCTACAGTAGAGGTCTACAGGGGAGCTCCAGGAGAGCAAAGACATAGATACCACCTTCCCAAAACAAACAACAACAAAACTCCTTAAAAACCTTCTTTCTAAAGAAGCTGGGGGAGGGGCAGAGAATGTGGTCGGTTGCTAGAGAACTTGCCGACTATGCAGAAGTCCTGGGTTCAGTCCTCAGCACCACATAGACCAGGTATAGTAGCCATTACCTGTAAAACTAGCACTCTGGAGGCAGGATGATCTGAAGTTCAAGGTAATCCTCAGCCACATACTGAGTTCAAGACCAGCCTAGGATGCATGAGACTCTCGGAAGGAAGGAGGGAGAGAAGGAGGGAAGGAAGGAAGGAAGGAAGGAAGGAAGGAAGGAAGGAAGGAAGGAAGGAAGGAAGGAA